TGAGTCTCAGGATCATGGTTAGGTGCGTATATCGCAAAGGATGAGTAGCTAGATATAGCTGATGTTCCCTGGTAGGTCTAGGGCATATAAACACCGTAATGTGTAAGTTACATGTTACCTTCTATTCAGGCTGAACTACACTATAGGCTAGTGAGCGTCCTATAATGTGTATCTATATCTATATGGACTATTTTAGTGATTGCTGAGCTATCTAAGATGTATCTGTATATCGGGTTTATGTATGGATTGTAGTAGGATGGAACTTGCATGTGGGTCTGACCCACTCTTATTTTTTTTAGGTGTTCGTCAGTACCAGGCTTAGAGTTTGATCGTGATGATGCAGATACAGTCACTCATTCTTCCGACTACATAGGATTTTCTTTCTTATTTTATCTTTGGATTTTGGTTTTGTAACTTATTTTCATTTGGGATTATTAGGGGTCCACTAGCTGGTTTCCCAAGTTGTAAGGATTGGAAAAGATTAAATTATATTAATGAATATTCTTTTAAGGATTTTTTTCATTTAGAATTCTTTTCAGCTTATTATTTTATTTTTTAATTTTTTTTTTTATTCTTACTTGTTTACATATTGATTGTTTGGTATCCCTCGGATCTGTGCTCGGACTTGATCACCCGTGGCTCTAGAATCAAGGGGTATCACAACGAGCCCAGCTCATTTGGGGTGATATTTAACCTACCTATATAAGGAATATGAGTCATTCTTGAGGGCATATACTTGAGAGTAGATAGATAAACTAGAGACACAATTTTTATATTCTTAGTGAGGAAGAAAAGAAAGGAGGAGGCTAGAGACACAAGCTTGGAGTTCTTCCATTAACCAAAAAGATAAGCAATCTCTACCATGGAGTTAGCACTTGAGGGTTGGAGGACATCATCCATGAGTGGCTAGACATCCTCTTGGGCCTAGAGTTAGCCTTAAGCATGTTTTTTACATCTTGATTTATGTATTTTAAGGGGATTTGTATTGTGATACACGTTTTGACATATTTATATAAATAGATCTTGTTTATTCAATGATTTGTGTGGTTTAATGCTTCCAATTGATCATTTTATTCTATCCATATGTCTATGCATGCTAGAATAGATGTTCATGTGTTTGTCTCTATTTCTTGTTTTATTGATGCATGTCTATGTGTATTAATACTATAGATCTAGAGATTGTCAAGACATAGTGCTTAATGAAATGCTCTTGTAGTTTATTTGATGGTTCATACTCATTTCTTGATGGATTGTGCCTCTCAATTAATTAGTTTAATTTCATGTCATTAGCTTAATTATAGTGTAGTTGTAGTTTAGATATTAAATAGGAGGACAATCCATACTTATTGTTTGATGTTCCATACTTATGAAAGCAAGTAGCATTCATAAGTGATTAATAGCTTAGTTTGATATATTGTGATGTGTTTGGATTGTGAGCTAAAAGAAATGATTAATGGCTTAGTTTGATATATTGTGCTATCCACCATGTTGCTTAGACAATATATGCTTAATTTGTCATCCATACTTATTGAAACAACCACACACACACTATGTTGTAATACATGTTTTCTCCCTCATTAATCATTCATTAAGGGTGTAGAAAAGTTTTGCTTAGTGGTGATCTATAAACCCCAAGATCTCTCTCTCATTTTCTCTCAATTACATTTAATTGCCTACTTTAGTATAAATTGCATCTTAGTGTAATTCAACAACCAACCAATCTTTTGATCACTCAACCTACTAACCCTAATTTCAATTCCACAACCTAGTACGACCCACCAATCCCTTGGGACGATCCCTACTCGCCCTAACTATATTTTTAGTGAAAGGTAGTAGTGGCAATTTCTAAATGTAAAACTTGGCCACATTTATCATAGCCTTACACCACTATCTTTTGGTGTACAAACTTTGGATTTGGGGTGCGACCCCCGAGACCACCAATTTTTTGGCCCCGTTGCCGGGGATTGATTGAAGACAACGTCGTATTTGTGGAATCAATTAGAAATTAGTACTTTTTTGATCGTGTCTTTACTTTGTTTTCATTTTGGTTACTTGTTGTGTTGGTTCTTATTTAACTAGGTGCATTGAAAAGAAGGTGAGCAAATGAGCATTTCAAGCAAGGAGCTAAGCAAAAGCAAGGAAAAGGCTAAAATCTAAAAAATTTGCAAAGCTAAATTGAAAATTGAATTGAAGTGCTAAAGGACCCTTTGTGAGCTCTTTCTTAACTCAATCTCTAGTTAAATCATCGGCCCGCGTGGAGGCTTGTATTTCAATTCTTAGATAAATCGTGAGCCCACGTGGAGGTAATTTATTTTTCTTTGCATATTGTTGATAGCATAGGAATATGGAATCATTGTATGTAGAGGAAGTTTGTTGATTGTTGATTTGTTACAAAAGTGAAATGATAGTTCATTGCTTGTTGCGTGTTGTGTTTTGTTGTGCATGCATGGTCGTAGATCATTGAAACCTACTCTTGTCCCTCTAAATTTTCATCTTGAATCCGTTGTTCGAAACCCTAGGGGAAGAGGAAATTCCAGTCAATCCATTTCATCAATGGAAGGACATAATAAGGACCATGTGGAGGACTTTGGTTGACCAACAAGGCATCCTCTACCCAAATGTGCAACATGATAACATGCAAGTACCATTAGGCATGCCGACGCCATTCATTCACCCACCACAACAACAAGGCCAAGTTCCATTGGGAATGCCAAGGCCAATCTATACTCCACCACCTCCCATCATTCAAGGTAATCAAGGCGCCCATATTGCACCTCCAATTGCTAATCCTCCCCTTGTTTTAAGAGATCATTATGTGCATAATGAATACAATGCACCCATATGCATTCAATTGCCACCATTTATAGCACACCACTATGAGATCAAACTACAGACCATTCAAATGCTTCCTAACTATCATGGACTTCCAAGTGAAGAACCTTACAAGCATTTGGATGAGTTTCTTAAAGTATGTTCCACCGTGAGATACACGGACATACCAGAAGAGGTCTTAAGGCTTAAACTTTTTCCATTCACCCTTAAAGACAAGGCAAAATATTGGTTTAACAATCTTAGGCCTTTTTCAATAACTTCTTGGGCAGAAATGCAACAAGAGTTTTTGAAGAAGTACTATCCAGTTTCTAAGATCAATGCCATGAGAACCTCAATTCGAGAGTTTTCACACAGGGATGGGGAAACGTTCCATGAGGCATGGGAAAGATTCAATGAATTGCTTAGGAAGTGTTCACATCATGACATGCCCAAATGGCAATTAGTTCAATATTTCTTCGAGAGCTTATCGGACAATTACAAGGGCATGGTTGATGCTTCCATGGGTGGCTCTTACATTGATAGGCATAAAGATGACGTGTGGCGTCTTTATGAGAGCATGAGTGAAAATTCTTTGCATCGAACTTTATCTTCCAAGAATGGTAGGAATTTAAGTGGAAGGAAGAGTGTTAGCTTACATCAAGTTGACCATTCCAATGAAATAGCCGTCGAGATGAAATCCTTATCTCAAAGGTTTGATCAATTCTTGATCAACCAAAACTCGGCAAATCAAGTATCTTCTGTCCCTAACCATTCCTATCATGCATCCAATGAGACAAGTATGACTTGTTCAAGTGTTTTACATTCTACTTCCAATTGTCCCCATGGGCTTGTGCAAAATGAGCATCATGAACAAGTCAACGCAGCTTTTGTTAATCAAGGGAACAATCCTTATGGCAATCATTATAATCCTAGTTGGAGGAATCACCCAAATTTCTCTTGGAGAAACCAAAGGGAAGGCTCAAACCCTCCCCAAGGTGGTTTCCAAGGGAAATATGTTCCACCTCTGATACAAAGCCAAGGTTCCCAAGGTTTTAGATCATCATTTCAATCACAAGGAAATCAATTTGATAATTCTCATTTTCTTAATCAACCATCATATTCTCAAGGAAATACTAGGAGTCCCGCTTTTGAAGAGAAAGTTTTGACCGCTCTGGGCACTCTAAAGGCGAACACTCAATTGCTTCATTCTCATTCTCAATCCATTGCTAAGCTAGAAATCCAAGTAGGACAAATAACTAGTACTTTAAATGCTAGAGAGAAAGGGAAAATGCCTTTGAATGACCTACAAAAGCAACAATGTGTTATGGAGACTCATTCCTCATCGGAAGGTCACATAATAGAGTATGTCAACACGGTGATTACCTTGAGAAGTAGGACGATTGTGGACAACCAAGTGGGTATGTCCAATGAAGAAAGTGAACCGGTGCAACCACAAGTTGACACCCATCCCGTTTCACATCCTATTCCTCCTTCATTGCATATGCATGATCTTTCAAATGAGAATATCTTGAAAAGTGATTTGAAAAGTGATTTTGAAAAGAAAAATTTGCAAAATGATTTCAAAACTTCTTGTGTTGAAGAGACTTCAATGAAAATTTCTGAAAAGGTTTTTGAGCCAAGAGCTCCATTTTTGGATGCCTTAAAAGGATCCATTTCAATTGACAAGTAAAAGGCCAAAACAAATGAAATTATGGATGTGTTTAGGCAAGTGAAAGTCAATCTTCCACTTTTGGATGCAATCAAGCAAATTCCGGCTTATGCTAAGTTTCTGAAAGACTTATGCACCCAAAAAAGGAAGAACAAAAGCCAAGCACCTAGGAAAGTGATCTTAACCGAACAAGTAAGCTCAATTTTGCAACATAACACTCTTCTGAAGTTTAAGGACACCGGTTCACCTACCACTTCATGCATTATTGGAGATCATATCATTAATCAGACTCTTCTAGACTTAGGAGCAAATGTTAATCTTCTTCCATACTCGGTATATGTCAAATTAGGCTTAGGAGACTTGAAACTGACGTCGGTGGTTTTGCAACTTGCCGACCGATCCATCAAAAAGCCTAGGGGTATCATTGAGGACATACTGATTAAGATTGATAAATTCTTCTTTCCCGTTGATTTCGTTGTCATTGACATGGAACCGACCCCCGAGACCACCAAATTTTTGGTGCCGTTACCGGGGCTCGAACCCGGGTCATCCGCGTGATAGGCAGATATACACACCACTATACTACAACGACCCCAAATTCCCATTATCCTTGGCCGTCCTTTCTTGGCAACCGCGAATGCCAACATTAATTGTAAGACGGGGATAATGAAGATCTCATTTAGCCACATGAAGGTGAAGTTGAATATCTTCAATCCGACCCCCAATTCATTTGACAAGCATGAAGAAGTGAATGTTGTAGAGAAATATCATAACCTTGAATGTGAAAGAATAGAGTCTTTGTGTGAAACCAAAATTCCAAAAGTCCATCTTCAACCCTGAATTCCAAGAAAGTTGTTTCAAAACCTTGTTTTGAAAGGGCATGGAAGCCCAAGGATCATGTTGACCAAGAACCAAAAATTTCTTTTGAGCCTAATCTAACAAGTTCTTTAGGGAACCATTTGTTGGGTGGAGTTCAAAACATTTATCACCCCATCAAGGAAGGGATGCACTACAAGATGTTTGATCCGGGCTATAAGAGCCCAACGTCTTGCTAAAGACGTTAAAGATTAGTACATTTCGTAGGGTGTCACAACCCTATTCCTCCCTCATTTCTATTTTAAATTTCATTTCTTGCGAAGTCTAGATATTTGCTTTAGGTTCATGTACATTGCTAGGAACTGTGATTAGGATTGCATGCACTTCATGTTGAAAATGAGCATTTTGCATAAGTTCGATCGATCTCTAAGGAGGTTTGATCGATCGAACTCCATACCTGTATCCACCTGCATCCAATCACCTCTCTGTCCAATCGTTCGAAGAAAACCTTCATATTTCAGCTCTCTGTCCCATCATTCGAACTTGTTCCTAGATCGATCTTTAGTTCTTCGATCGATCCAACTTCATCTTGGATCGATCTGCAGTCTTAACACTTAGAAATTTTTTGAACCTGCATCAAAAAGCTCTCTGTCCCATCGATCGAACATGTCTACAGGTTTTTGCATGTTCGATCGATCGGAGTTATTCTTCGATCGATCTTGGAGAGATCGATCTTTGTTCTTTGAATTACTATTTTGTTTAAAGTTTAATTTTTTTATTTTGAACTTTAAAATAGTAAATTATATATATTTTATTTTGTTTTATATTCCAAAAATAGTTTATTTTATTTAGTTTTATTCTTTTTTAATATATATATATATATTCAAAGCTTCAAAAACAATTTTTCTTTTAGTGAGGAGAGATTGATCACAGTTCGATCGATCGAACTGGTAACGAAATGTTTTTAAAAATCAAATCTAGGGTTGTTAGATCGATACCACAGATCGATCTAACACCCTCTCCTTCGTCCCTCGCCGCTGCAACTTACTTCTCCATCTCCGGCGAACCTTCCGGCGAGTTCATCTCACCTCGAATATCTCTCCTTCATCTCGGATCTCAAATCTCATTTTCATCTCATCTCATCTCTCGGTTTAAGGTAAGATCCGAACCCCCCTCTTTTGATTTCAAGCTCTAATTTAATGAATCCATGCTTTAAATGTTAGACTTAAGGTGTTTTGAAGATAAATCTTGCCATTGATGAAGTTTGAAGCTATGTATATATGTGTATATATATGTATATATAGGTTTTATATTTTTTTGATTTTAATTTCGATTTTGGGGGTCATAGAAAGTGACCAAATATGTTGATTTATTGTGTAGAGGGGCCCACAAGCTTGTTTGTGAGGCCCCCGTGCCATCCATGTCACAGATCTGTTACTTTTTGAGTTTCACCTCACAGTTCGATCGATCGAACTTTTTCTCCGATCAATCTGTAACAGATCGATCACACTTATTCTCGATCGATCGAACTTGCATCGATCTCACATATTTGTGATCGATCGAACTTCATAGATTTGCATCACACATTTCACACAACATCTTTTGTGTTTCATGCTATCTCATACATGCCCAATGCCTGTGTTTTCCACATTGGATGCATTCCATACTTATACTGTCTAGCATGCTTCTATCATGTCACTCATTCCTTGTCACTTGCATAAATTCATGTTCCTTATCTATTTTGTCTATCTTATTTGACATACATGATTCTATCAACTGTGCTTTAATTCTTTATACCGGTACTGATTTCCTTTTTGTAAGTTTTCCTTTTATTTTGCAGGCCATGGCTAGGGTAAAGACTGTTGCTCGCAAACATTATCACCGCAAGGCCAGACAGAGATTGGACGATGAGGCAGGTCCATCTCACGCATAAGACCCCATTCATGAGTCTAAGCCAGAGCCCTTTCATATTTAGGAGGAGCCAGCAGAGCCCACTCCACCTCAGTTTCCATCCGCTGACAGTTAACTACAGTCTTCAGCTGAGGCATCTTCTTCACAGGCTGACGCTGAGGCTGAGCACATACCATCTCCATCACCACCACCAGCTCAGCCAGCCCAGGATTTAGACCGGTCATTGCTGAGATACTCACGTCTTTAAGTGGTGCACGAGTCGGTCTTTGACATAGACTACTTCTCCTGGTCTGTTCTTACCAGAGCAGCATATGACGATATAGGCCGGAGGGGCATCTCAGCCATACTAGCCCCTGTCACATACCCAGTGTACCCGAGGTTGGTCCGGATGTTCTTCCAGAACCTTCGACCTGCCCCAAGTAACCTAGCCGGAGCTGCGAACTACCATTGACGGCCACCCTATCAGTATCACGGTGGACACTCTTTCCAAATCTTGCCGTTATCCACACGTCTGCCCTCCAATCTTCAGGATACATATCCTACCTTATGGAGGCCCTCATATGCAGACATGGCCGTTGCACTCACAGGTCACTATGCCTGTGGCGAGACTTTTGCCACTCGGACTTATCTGCCAAATGACCTGTGGTTCTTCAATTCGGTGCTATACTGAAATGTTTTTATGGCCGACCACAAGATACAAAGACGCGGCGACTATCTTACAGCTTTATACGCCTTCTATACAGGGCACTGACTGTCTATTCTTGCGCTCATCTGGAGCGTTATGATGAAGCTGTATGTTGACCATATCAGCAAGGCCAAGCCCAAACGGGCTAAGTATCTCCCATTCGGCCATCTCGTCACACAGATTCTGAGAGACCAGCGCTATCCCTTTCAGTCACGGGAGCGTACTGAGTCTGGGGCCTACACATTCCAGAAGAAGGATTGGGATAAGAGCTACAAGGCTCTTATCAAGAGCCTACAGGACGACGTTATGAAGGCAGCTGAGGAGCTAGAGAGAGAGGAGTTGGAGCAGGCAGTGGCAGCAGCAGCAGAGCAGGCTGCGGATGATATACCAGTCGATTCGCCTGCCATGCACATGGATATTGACTTGGAGCAGCCTGTAGAGGACCCGAAGCATCACTCTCCGGCTGGGTCGCCCATTCATGGTGAGGAACAGGCTCAGGATGCACATTATTTTCCTGACCCAGTGGTACCTAAGGCTCCAGCACAGACACCCGGCTTTGAAGAGCGCATCCAGGCTTTAGAGGATGCCATAGTCTCTATCCGAGCAGACACTGTCTCTATCCGAGCTGACATTACTTCACTCCGTACAGATGTAATGGCTGCGTTGCGAGACCTATCCAGAGACATACGCGGATCACGCCCTCCCGTCCTTCCTCCTCCACTTGATCTTTCCATTCTTCTTATTCCTCTTATATATCTGTGATATCTGCATATTTTTGATATTGTTATATTATTTTTGCGGCCAGTCTGTTGGCCTTAATATCTCACTGGATGTACTGTACTTTATTCTATTTTTCTATTTTATCCATGATCTTTTGGATGTCATATTCTTCTATTGATATTTCTGTCTGTGACTGACTCCATTAAATGCATCCCAGTGACTTCAATAAGCGAGAGAATGCTGCCAAAATTTTCAAGACCACCCTTATACCTCTCTCTATTTTCAGTTGCTATCCCATTTATACTTACATGTCCAATGTGCACTGTTATTATTCTTTTTGTTATCTGATGAGTTTTATCCAAGTGCCAAATTTTCAGGAGCACAGTTAACCCCAAGTTTGGGGGGGTTATGCCACCTATTTTGGATACTTTTGTCCTGGCTATTCTTTGCTATAGTTACACTGGTATACTCTTTCCTTTTGTTCTCTTTGCACATCGAGGACACTATGCCATTTAAGTTTGGGGGTAATAGTGTGATTTGCAGTGTTTGCTTTAGATTCAAAATTTTGAGCATGACTTGTGTATTTGAGGGATTTTCTATGATTGGTCCATAACTAGCTATGATTTTGATCTTTTGAGGACTATATTACTTAAAATTTAAAAATTGCTTGACTTGAGAATCCAATACTCCTTATATGCCTTGTGGATGCCATTTAGGAGTAAATTTTTCGAAAGATTGATATCATGCTTGCACTTGTGGTCCACATCATCCTGATTTTGTGATTGTTTTGAGATTCACTTTAGGATTCTACACTAGCACAGGCGCACACTAACATTCATTTATGGAGTACATGTTTTGTTGATTATTGAATTGGTTATATCCCAATTAAGCTAGTAGTGCATTGAAAGCTTTCATTCTTGATAAAGATGGATAACAACCCCTTTTCACCAAGTAGCAGAGATTCTAGCCTCATCAAGCATTGAATTTCTCGCGCCGAAAGGTGGAGGGCCCAAACTCTAGGTTAATAAATGAACTTGTTTATTCAAAAAAAAAAAAAAGAAAGTTGCAAAAGTAATAAAAAGTTAGGACTTCTCCCAAAATGTGAGAAGTGGGAAATGATTAGATGGAGGTTGTTTTAATTTGTAGCCTAATTGATTTGAACTTGTAAGTCCTTAGGGGTGTTTGAACACCTAGTACCCTAAAGCCGTCTGGTTTGGGAGTCATTGACCTAACGCTCGACCTCATGAATCGCTAGAAAGCTTAATAGATCAACACATTGCACCATGCTTCCATCTTTGATCCTATAAAAAAAATAAAAAATAAAAATAAAATCGAGTGAAAAGAATAAGCTCACCTAGAACAATAAAGCTTTAATAAAAGGTACACTCTTTGTCTTGATGATCGGTACTAGATTTGTGTGCTAGTTTGAGGGTTAGGATGTGATCATTTCTTTAGTTGTC